CGTAATCTGGCATTAGTAAGATACCTAGGATTTTGAGTTGGGGAATTGCATGCAATGCAATACAGTCCGTATAATTAGAAATAAGGGAAATGGCAATATTTGCCCAAAGATGTTCCACTAAATGTAAATCAGAAAAACAAAAATTTAATGTATCTTTTTCTATAATGTCTAATGACTTTCGTGAAACTCGCGTTTTCTTCTGCGATTCACATGGCAAGAAGTCCATGAATTTCTGCTGACATGTGCGAAGCCATATAGTGACAGGCTTTTGCGTTCGGTTTTTAGGTTTCTAAGTGCCTATTAGCGCCCATAAATATGTTGCGGTATGGGTATTATTTCAGTTTTGCATCTCGCCAGTGAAAAGAATTGTCAAATACAGATTCTGTTCCCTACGCCGATAGTCTTTACCACATAACGCGAAAATCGAATTCCATTATAACTATTGTGCTTTTCCTTTTCTGTAGTGGATACTTATTTGAGGAAGTATCTTTTGAAATATAGACAGTTAATGAGAATAATTGAGAATAAAGCATACGGGTTTTTATCATTTCGATAACTTTTATTCCTCCAATACCATTCATATTAAAAATCTCGTCACCAACGTACGGTTAGATTGTAAAAGAATGTTGTAGAGCATGTTTCTCAGCAAATCACACTCAGTGTCTGAGTTGCCATACAAATTGATGACTTCGTAGGTCACCACAATTGAAGAAACAATTTTTAACATTGAATCTTCATTTGCCATCTTTTCTAATTTTCACATGTGGAGGATTAATTCACATCGCGTTGTCTACATAATCATTTTTATATATATGCCTTAAAGATACTAATGTTCTCGTTAATATATCGATTTTCAATAATCGAAGACTCTTCCGCTTTAGAGTGAGTGAGTTTCTGTTCTTTTTAATGCAATGGTTACTAAATATTTTTTAAGTACTGGTCGTAATATTTCTCCCGCGCGTATATCAGAGTACTTTCTTGTGCAATAGAATACCGTTGTGAATGCATTGTTATGATTTATTGAGTTTTTTGAACGTCCTAACTTCTCTGGATGAAGGACAGACGCGAAAGAAGAAGAGCACATTAATTATTTTCTTTACTTTTTAAATCAATGGGATCTTGATTGCATTGAACAGTCGTCAGTACATATTTAGCTATTGACTCCCAATGGATCCCTTGTTCATCATTGATCCCTTTAAAAGCTTCATGGACTTCAAGGCAGTCTGTTCTGACCCGGTTAGGAACCCCAGCATTAGAGTGTAGCTCTAATGAGGCGTTCTAGTTAATTCGGAGAAAATTTAGTTTGCCGATGCTTTCCTCGCCCAGCCAGATAGTGATGAAACACCAGTTGCTTCTTAGAGTAATACCTTTCATAGGATGAACGCCTTAATGACTTTACACCACCTATACCACTCAGCAGCTTCCCTATTGCCCCAGCCGCAGCGACTTGCTTCAGCTTTTGCGGAAGCTTCAATTGTCTGCTCTTCCGAAGGGGATTCGGGAACCCGGGCACTTCGACGTGAGAGCGAGCACTCTAGCCATGAGCCGTCCGCGAGCTCACTTATCGCTTCTATTTATTCTTGTTTATTGCTGTATGTACGACTATTCGTGCTTGTTTGCGACCTCAGCTCGCGCCGATTCGCAAATAGGTTGCAGGCTCGTGCAAATAAGGCAGGTAGTTTGGTCGTTGCCTGCAGGGTGTGTGCTACGTTGAAACAGGAACCTATCAGGCGCAAGTGGAGCACTTCTTTCTGCACGTTTTGCTTTTTTCTACAGCACTCATTGCGGGGAGGTTTTTTTACCCTAGCTGAAAGTGGCAAGGTTGTGTGGGAGTGTCGACAAGTAAAACTAGACGGAAGGGAACGGCTAGAATTGGATCATTGGGGTTTCCGTAACGGTTTGCTGCATCGAGAAATCTCCTGTAACCTTGGTGACGAATTGCAACTGAACCTTGATTTTTTTAGAAAAGGTTGGATGTAATGTTTCTTTTAATGACCTTCTTTATCTTGGGTTACTTTTCCGGTAGTTCAGCGACTTTTTCTTCGATATTGTAGAATTATACTTTTTTTTAGAGTTGGTTTCTTCGTAGTAGTTGCATCGTACTATTATTACTATGAACTGTTAATTAACTACTGTAACTTACTATTTTGATAGATTCAGTGTCAACTTTCTGAAAATGAACATACACATAGGTTCGACCTAGCCGAATCTTTCAGAATGACATACGTCCTTTAGAACCAGGGAGAGAATGAGAGAGATTAGTATAGAAGAAGACTTAGTATAGACGAGTATAGAATAGTATTAGAAATCACTAAAGCGCGCAGTTCAGGCGAATGCCTTAATGACATAATAATTTTGCGGCTTACCTGCTTGGGAATGTCGATTTCCTTTCATGCCTTGTAGTTGCATGAAACGGGTTCTCAGCGGTCAGATCGTGCATCATAGTTGCACCTGTGGAGGCACAAATGCAAATTTAGTGTATGCCGAATACGTGATATGTATGTTTCGTTCTATTTCTAATTGCTTAATCATTAAAACGAGTAGTGCTATGTAATTAGGAATGTCAGTTCTGTGAAAGTTGTCGAATTATTATTATTTATTATTATCATCGTCGTCGTAGCGGCTGCGATCAAGAATTTAGGGTTTTCGTATCAGAATTGCGAGTCTCTCTTCTATTTGTGTATGCGACGAAGGAACGCAGCCCTAAGGAGCCTGTTCGTTGTTACGAAGCGGGTTCTCGGGGCCGGACGTGCTGTGCCGGAACAGGGCGGGCCAGGGCCGGGACCGAGGTGGCGGCAGAGAGCACTGGCGTAGGTGTCGCTGGCAGCTCGCATTGCAACCTTGCGGGCGCGGCATTTCCGCCCCATCAAGGCCCGGGCAACGGGTTTCTGATGCATTGTGCGTCATCGGCCTCCAGGCCGCACCGCGGCTCGCGGCCGGAGGGAACGCGTGCACTACGACTCGGCCGCAGCTCTCAAGACGACTGCTCGCTCGGTGCAGTCGCATTTTTAACACCCTCGCATTTTGACACCAATTTTTGCCAGATCGTGTAGGGTGTGTAGTCTGTAAGGATCGTGTGGAAGTGATTCACATTATTTTAACGAACGTTGGGGCTGTGGTACTTCCCATTATTTTGTCATTTCTCTGAATGAAGAATATTGGGCCGAAAACTATTTAGAACGTTTATTTTTGCTGTGTTGCTATATATATATATATATATATATATATATATATATATATATATATATATAAAGGAAATAATATTTACACTAATTACACGGAAATATTTTACGGCATGCCTGTAAATATTAAAGTTTTTACTAGTATCTATGTTAAAAAAAAAAGCTCACATATTGATTTTGCAGTTATTAAGTTTCTGTGGAGCTAACGTTTTCTTGTAGGGCACGCTGTCGCGAGAATTATTGCCTGGACTGTATGTAAAGAAACTTGCGAAGTGTCCCTTCTGAAAGACGGTGCGGCTCCAGGTAGCAAGTGGGTATGTTGCAACCCCCTCCGTCCCTTGGCCGTTTACTCCCCTCTTCCCTTTGTGGCGGCTCCCACCTGTCTGGGAGAGCGGGCGGCGGTAGCACAGATCCCGTTGCTTCGCCCCTGGAACGCGGGGCTGGGCGTGGGGGAGAGGTTGGCCGGTCGAGCGCGAAGCGGACTCCCTGGAAGCTGCGCCCGCTGCTACCACTCAGTGTGTTTTTATTCCTTTTCCAACTAGCGTTTTTTTTCCTACTCGGGGGAAAAGTGTTCATGACTCCCCACATGAAAAACCTCTATGTATTCGTTCCGAGAACAGAACATAATTGTAGCGTCTTGTCATTGCATGTTTCGTCAGATTTGTGTTTCATTATACAAACATTTAAAAGGTATTGAAAAGCTTATTTATTTAATGATGAACGAATGTAATACATAATGCATTTCATTTGTATTTGTTGACATTTATGGCTTGCCAGATTTTAGTTGAATAGTGTAATTATGTTAAAATTTATTTTCATAAGTAATATTCACAAGCCTTCGTGCATTTGCAATGTGCTGCATTTCTTATGGATTCTTTCATATGCTAATGAATGTGTGTATTAAAGTATGCCCTTCCTCCAATCTCAAGTATTCGCTTACATCTTGTCGACTCTGACTTGAAGATCCGTCTTCGTTGGTGGAGCAGGGACTTGGAGCTCCGTTTTCTTGTGGTGTGGCTGATATTCTCATCCCATTACGAATCTCATCTGAACATCACCTAACCACTGTTCATTCCGTCATCTTCATGATCATTTCACCATCCTTCATATGGTACGAAGGCCTAAAGGCGTAGATCCTGCTTGCTCCCTCGCCTACAGTAGGCAATCAAGTATCCCAATCATCGTCCATCATCATCATAATCATTATGACCCGAAGGGCCAAAGGAGGGACGCACCTGCAGGGGACGTGGTCGTCTGAAATGAGTGGCGAGCGGAACAACGGTGTGCGCGGCCGTGAGTGGCGTGTGAGTCAACGCGGACGCTTTGGGAGGGGGACGTCATTGCCCCCGCCCCGCCAGCTCTCTGCGGTCGGCGTGGCACCGGCGTCTGGTCACCCAATCGCATCTCGTTTTTTCGAATCCGGATCCGCTTCTGCAACGGATGTGCGCGGCGTTAAGGAGGGCTTTTCCTCATGAGCTCATCTCCGCGTTTTGTATGATCGCGACGAAGGGAATCACTAATTGTATTTGCGTGTTCCGTATGATGCAGAATTGCGTTGCATTTGTGTTTTGGTACTACTATATCTTTAATGGCATGCTTTTATAGATTTTTTTAAAATATCGGATGGTTTTGCTCGTATTTTAGTTTTATATATTATATTAGTTGCGATACCAGTAAGGTCGTTCTTACAACGATTTCAGTCACACTTTTTAAGAATCACTTAATCTACACCTTGGTTCATATCAATTTCTGCACTACGAGACCTTAATAAACCAACAGACCAAGAAAATATGCAAAAAATAAGTTTAAAATATGAACAGCTGGAAATGCATAACCCCACCATCTAGCTCTTTGATAATAGCCAAGAAATTTCTGTTTTCAGCAGAATTCTCTCTCTTCATCTTCCCATTGGATAACACACATTTATCCAAACAAGTTTTCTTATTTTTTAAAAAATATTGTTCATATATTCTCAATTTTGTTTGTTCTGATATTGTTATAATGTTATGGTGATCTTTCTTCTATAGTTCTATTATAAATACCAAGGAATGTACCAATGGGTGACTTTCCTACTTGTATTTCATTTTATATATCGCATCTCCAATAGAAAAGTGACACAAGTACGAAATCGTAATTTTCAGCTAAAAGCTGCTAAGAGGTTACTAAGAGGCACTGCTACTATTCTGAAGTTTGAATTAGTTCAAACTGTTCGCTACTGTCCGCTAGAAGGTGAATATTTGGTACAATCTATAACGATATTACAGAACTACGAAACTTAAAATTGCAATTTCTGAGAAATCCGAAATTCGCACTTGTCACTTTTCTATTGGAGGTGCGATATCTCTTTATACACTAGTTCGTATCGCCAGTGAAATATATTGTAAATATTCGTTGACTAAAAAAGTAAGGTCTAAGGTGTTTACCGACTAAGCCGGCCTCTCGGATCAGTCATTTCTCCTGTCAGTTCGAGGCGGATGGTTCTAAATTTCTAAAAGAACGGCCCACGGACTGTACGCGTTGCATCTTTTCCATTCTCGGAAATAGGCAATGGACTGTTCGTCTTATAGGCCATTCTCTAATCGTCAGTGCACAAGAAAAGCGACACATTTACAAAATCGTCGTTTTGAGGGAGAATGGCTTTAAAATGCGATGGAGCCGTTTATTTCGCGGGTTGGGAAAGAAATGTACTATGTGTGCCACCTGTCTTGTGAACCACCTGTGATTTTTCTCATTCAAAAAAACAACATACAATTTTTTTTATTTTTTTTTAATGTTTCACTTCAGAAACGTGTCAGTTTTCGTGCAAGAACGATCTAGATCTAGTTAATCTTCGATTGGGAAAATACTCCAATGATACTGCGGGTCCGCTGGCGACAGGCCAAAACTCCAGGAGTTTTGAATCTCCGGTAAAAGAGGAAGTAGAAGCAAGCCATTTCATGCCCGAAGTCATTACAGGCCAGCGTAGCGGAAGACGGCAGGATTGGGCAGCTGAGAACGAGGTTGCTTCGAAGCGTCCGCGGAATGCCGCTCCGGATGTCGCCGAGCGAGGGGATTAGCCGTGCCCCGTCGTGTTGCGCTGGCGTTGGCGTCGGCCGAGCTGTGGGTGGATGGGTTCCGGTTCGGTGCCCGCCGGTTGCAGCGCGCCGCGGCCGCCCCGCAGAGCGCTGCCTTCCCACGAGGGCGCCTGCCTTCGGTTTCCTCTTCGCGCTGTCCGTCTCTGCTTCTCGGATTCGTTGCTGAAGTTCTCGGCCGGGTGTGTGCCACGGCTGGATGCGAAACAAGTGGAAATCGAGGCGCTTGGTCATAAATTGATTCAAGCTTAGGGGAAGAGGGGAGTTATGCTAGCGGTTGGAATGGTTGCAAGACAACTATTTTTCGTGAATAGAGTAACGAAAATGCAGACCCTGCGTTATTTGTTGCTCTACGATAATTCTTATTATATAATGAGAAGAAAAGCGTTTTCCGTTTAGAAAATTTATTTTAATCGACCTTAACATTTCAACCGAAATTTTTAAGTTTGCAATTTCAAATAACACGAAACCAGAGCTAGATAACTTTCAAAAATAATAAAATGATATCAATTTAGATACTTAAATTGTTGAATGGCGGGAAAATGATGAAATCTCAAACTATTTCTGAACGAAAATATTATAGAAGAAAACATCAGATTGTTGGTGATTGAACAAGAAATATTGGTTGGTTATTTTGAATTTTGGTTTATTTCAAGTTTTCGCGTCATCTTTGAAGTTCCAGTTAAAAATATTCATTACGTTTTTCACCGTACTCAGTAGGTTTTTGTTTTATTCCTTTCGGTCATACTTCAAACACAATTACAGCTTTCACCTTCTTGATGAATTACATACACAACCGTATGCGGCAAAGTAATTATTAGTGTTTCACAGGTAGG